AGTCAGATAGCTCTGTACGTTGTAGGCATAGCTGTCGATGCGAAAAATCTCCTTCGGATCGACAAATCAATATCAGTTGGTTGGTTATGTAGAGAAATTATTGACAAACAACAATCACAGAAAGTGAACATAATATTTCACACGGACAAAGACGATCAATTAAAGAATTTCAATATAAGAAAAATAATAGAAGATTACAGAAGATCACACGCAATTTCTCCCTCACCCAAGTCCCAAAGTACACCCAAAGCTCAGTATGTGTTCCAATCAAAAGCTCACCACATACAAGAGACTATACTCCTCTTTGAATACTAAGCTTTTCCTCATACAAACTCTTGATTCTGGTTACTCTAAACTAGATAAAGATAGATTTTTAATAAGCTGCCACCTTTTAAGTATGATGGTCCATTGCCTTGATTAGCTTTAATAATATGATATAAATAATATCATATTAATTTATAATTTATGATTAGATATGCCTAATTTTAATTGATTTTTTGCTATTGTATTGCTTAGAGGCGAAGTAATATGTATAAAGATTTTTCTTGATACTTAGTTAAATTACAAAGAGTTTTTTTTTAATTTGTTCATTCAATTAATTTCACAAGTATATGTTCAGATTAATAAATAAAAACTAAAGTTATTAATAGAAAACCGAAATAAATAGTTACAGTGGGCGTAAAAGAACTACTTTTCTGTTTTCATTTGAATTTAGTTAAAAATTGAAACTTATGAGAATTTTACTAATCGACTTATGATTCCAATAATCACTAATTTCAAAGGAAGAAAATAATTCACATGTGACTATTAATTTGCTTCGACAAGTAGCAAACAAAGAAGATGGATAGGGATGACAATTTACCCCGTCTTGCCTACGCATCAATTTTCCCCGATCAACGTGAGAATTCCCCGCATTGATCCGGGATGGGTCGGGGCGCCCTGCGAGCGAGGATAGGGTGGGGATGAGATTTGTCCGCTCTGCCCCGTTTGCTCCATTTCTTTTTTATTTATTAAATTTATAATTATACCTCATATAAAATCTATAATTAGTGATTTTTAGAGTTTATTTTCTATATAAATTATCATTTTTTTTGTTATAATTTAAATTTTGATAATAAACTTAGATAAAATGAAACAAAAATAAAAAATAATAATTTTTGCCTCGTTTGGTGCGGCGATCATACGAAAAATTTTGTCTCGTTCGAGACATGGGACGGAGACAGAGAAAATTTTTTAGGAGCAGGGTAGGGATGAGGATCATTATTCGGGGCATGATATAACAAAAAAGATTGAGGAGCAGGATGGGGAAAATTTTTTATATAAGTCACTTATTTAACATCTCCTTCAGAAAATTATTTAGGAGCAGGATGGGGAAAATTTTTTAGCCCCCCTAAATATGGACTTGAGGCCCAAAGAATGTTTACGAGGATCAACCCCTTTTCTGCATGCTAAAAAATCACGAATGGGCACTATAGAAATAGGAGAATAAACGCGATGTTAAATAAGTGACTTAATATTTTTTATATATAAGAATTAATAGTGAATTTGTATAATTAAAAGGATTTTCCTAGAAAAAGATTGAGGATAATGATATAATTATTTTGTTTCTTTCAATAGCACGTTTTTGTTTCACCAATTATTTTTAGTTTCAACTAATAGAATTATTCTAAGAGTTAAAAGCATGATATATAGGATTCATGATCAGTCACAGTGTATCTATTTATTGAATTTTTTTTTATATCAGTTAAACCTCTAAATTAATTGGTCCATTGAATTAGTACATAATTAAGGCCGGCAAAAAACAAAACAAAAAACAACTAACTGCTGCAAATCCTTAAATAAACGGAATTAATTAGCTAGGGTCTAGGGATACATAGAAAAAACTGATGACACTGTGTAATTTTGTAAGAGACTTAGTTTATTGAGAAAAATTTAATAAATCATCTAAGCCAGTCGACTCCTGTGAAGTCTTCCTTATTAACAGGGAATTATTAAAAATACAAATCCTAATTCTAATGGGATTAAAAAACAAATAAAAATTATAGCGTTATGTTGTTCCAAGCTGCTAAAAAATCATTTCAACCAAAAAGCTTAAAATGTTATGCTAGGTCTTAATAATGATTTTATATTACTTTCTAACATATTATATCAAGTGAAAGTTTTTTAGTTTTGAAACTTATTCGACTGACTGACACGATCTTACATTTAATTAATTAGAAGATAGACAAAAAATTTATCATATCAATAGAAAAATTAGAGATTCAAATCACGTTATCATTTTTTATAATATAAAGATGATCAAACCGTCAAAATAATTTTATCATAATTTTTGAGTGACTAATACAAGTAACAATCAGAATGTTTTAAAACGTTAAGGATCATTCCTGAAATTTATCTGAAAACAATGGCTGAAGAGTATATTTTAATAACATCCTAATAGACAAGAAACTAGGGAAGAACAAAATTACAAGGCCTTAGATTATAACATTTTATCCACCATTATCATTCATAAATTTTCCTTTTGCATCATCATAATCGTGCAAAGCCGTAATTTGTTGGGCTTAACAATTTTTGCAGAAGAAGATGAAATTTGATGCAATTGTGGTATGAATTGCTTGGTGTTCACATGCCTACATTGTTTGGAAAACTAGAAATACGTGAATTCACAATGTTGCAGGAAGGAAAGTCGATACTGTCATAACCAAAAGAAAAGAAAGAAACTGAGATGGAGGGACCGCGCTATTTTTCCTACCCCGGCAGCAACTTGCCAGGTCCCTCTGCAGTCTCATTATCCCCTGCTGCAAGCTACCCAAGCCACCATTAATGTAGCCCACAACCATGGACTACAGCTCCTACAGCAACCCCAGACCAATTCCCAACAATCCTGCAATCTCTGGCGCAATCCCTCAACCTCACACCATACCTGCAAAAAAAAAAAAAACAACTGAGGCTTTTCTTCATCTTCAATCCGAATTTTCCTTAAGGTAATCCACTCTTTATCCTTTTCAATGTAATTCCTAATTTTGGAAGATTGATGGCGGTGATATTCATCACTGTCATCCCCGAATTTTCTTCTCAATCACACACACACGTGTTTGCTTTTCGTTCAATTAGGAGTTTGAATTGAATTCAAACCCAGATCAATTTGGGTTTAAATTTCAAAATTGGAAATTTGAGTATTTTGGTGTTTTAGGCAGTTAGGATTTTAAAATTTGGGGTTTTGTATCTAGATTGAAATTGAGGGTTAAGGGATTGAAAGGAAAGTTTAATTGAAAGTGACTGAGGGTTTAAGCCTCAATTGAAGGCTGGTTTGAACTATAGAGAAAACTAGGTTTCAAAAGTAACAAATTGAGGTTTTTTTTTTGAAAGGTGGCTCAATTGTGTTTAAATCTACTTGATTTCAAACGAAATCAAGCCATTTAGAACAAAAAAAAAAAAAGGAAGGTTGATGAAGATCAAAAGGAGAAGCTTCGGTCGGGAACGAGGAGAGAGAGAGAGGGGGGATTCGGGAAAGGAGGAAGAGAAGAAAAGAAGAAAAGGAAAGAAAAAAGAAGGGTTCGTCCTTGATGAGAGAGTGATTCGGGAAGAAAAAGAAGAAAAAAGAAAAGAAGAGAGAGAGAGAGAGAAAAAAAAAAAGAGGTGGTTTGATCCAAAAAGAAAGAAAGGGGTTTTTTGCTTGTGTTTGTGGGTAGCCCAACCCGTATAACTGGGCTGGACTGTGTTAAAGAGGGTTTGAAGATGGTTCGAGCTATGCTCGGAATTGAAGGTTAATTTTCATAAGATTTCTCTTATTGAAATTAAGGAGTTCTGTTATTGTATAGCTGGTTTTTTGAATTGCAAAACGGGCTGCCTTCCTTTAGTCCAAGGCAAATTTCTACTTGGAAACAGGTGTTGGACATGGTCAGAAACTGGCCTCTTTCATCGAAAAGCAAGCTTCTGTGCCATCTAGTATACCTACCAAAAAGCCACTAGGAAACAGAGAGGAATAACTGTTGATAGTAACATTCAATTTCTTGATATTTCTTTCTTCCACCAAATCCACGTGGCTGGGATCCAGATCGATCACATGAATATTTGGGAGTCTTGACTTCTCAAGTCTAGGAAGAAGAAGAAGAAGAAGTGCAAGTAGAGGATGGAATTAAGAGCAAGTTGGAAAATCATTCCATCCCACGACAAAAATTGAGGAAAAGGAAAAGTGATTACATCACTAATTAACGAAGAATCACAAATATTTCGTACAAGATAATAATCTACTAGCGATATTTTTAATACGTTTAATTGGTTATTAAGTAATTTTTTCTCGGGAGGGAAACAGTTTTTGATATATATATTTTTTTATTTTGATTTGGATTTTAATTTTAATTTTTTTTTCATTTAAGTCATTTAGTCCTCATGATTTATTTCAAGCACTAGCTTGACTTGCCAAGTCTACGAAGAAACAGCCGAGTACTTAAACTACGAGAGAGGAACACACCGTTCCACAAGCTTTGAAAGAAAAAACAATTTCCATCTTATAGGCAGAGACCTCGATGACTTTGACTTTCTTGTACAATATATGGAGCAGCTGCCAAGAAATTGATGAACTTGAAACTTTTTAGGTAGCAATGATCTGACGTAGAAAAACTACATCAAGGGTGTTACATTGTTCATCTAGCGATTGGCTGGAGAAAGGAAAGTATTGGTGATTCATGGAGAAAAAAGCCATGGCCGTGTTGCACATGGTTTGGTGATTCATGCAGCAAAGGAAAGTTTCACGTTTTAAACTAGCACCTAACCTTAAATGACAGTCATTTTCTAACCCCTTTGAGATGCCCAAATAAGTCTTGCTTCTTCTCCATTCCTTCATTAACAAGCTAAGTCTATTCCTTTGACAATTCAGCAAAGAAAATTCATGGTTATCCCTAATTATTTGAATGCATGAAGAGAGCCATAGTGTAGTATGAAATAGGTCATAACAAAGTTCATTGTTAGTGCGTAGTGGTTCAGTAGACTTGCTTAAGATGGCGATGAGAATGTGTGTTTGGATATTGCTGACTTTATTTAGTGTGGTTAGTGAGTGGTATGGCCATTGTTGCGGGTGCTTGGAGGAAGAGAGAATCGGTCTCTTGGAGATCCAAGCCTTCTTCGATCCAAATCGCCTTTCCTTGAGGGATTGGGTGGACAAAGATGGTATTGGCAATTGCTGTGAGTGGTCTGGGATCGAGTGTGATAATACTACCAGGCGAGTGATTCAACTCTCTCTTATGGATGTGATGGACCGTACCGGTTTGGGGGATTTGATTCTCAATGCATCGTTGTTTTTGCCTTTCGAAGAATTGCAAAGTCTCAATCTCAGAGGCAATAGATTAGTTGGTTTGTATGAGAATCAAGGTTAGTTGTATCTATATGTTTTCTATATTAACAAAATAAACTTTTTACTGATGAAATGTGAACTTTTTTTCTTTGAAAATTTTCTTGTAGGCTTTCAAGTCCTATCATCAAAACTGAAGAAACTGGAGATCCTTGGCCTAACTCAAAATCAATTTAACGAGAGCATTTTATCATCTTTGTCCGGTCTTTCATCTCTTAAGTCTTTATATCTATCACAGAATAATTTGACTGGATCAGCTGGCTTCTATGGTAACACCTTATCTGGTTTTGAACCCTTCTTTTTTCCCTTCATACATAACTTTTTCTATACGTTTATTTTCTTGCAATAGTCTTAATTTTGAGAATCATCTTGCAGGTTTTGAAGTCCTGGCGCCAAGGTTGAAGAAATTGGAGAACCTTGACCTTGGTTGGAATAAATATAATGATAGTAGCATTTTTCCTTCTTTGAGTGAGTTTCAATCTTTGAAGTTTTTAGATCTGTCAGGAAATATGCTGAATGGATCGACTAGTTTCAATGGTAAATTACTTATCCCCGTGAGTGGATTCCTTTCCTTGATAAGACACTGATTAGTTAAGGTTATTTATATATTTGTTGCCTAAAATGTTACATATATAATAACAATGCCTTCATTTTGTTATATCTTTTTCACAGAGAGTTTCTTCAATTCGACCACCCTTGAAGAATTGTTCCTGGATTATAGTTCTCTTCCAGTAAACTTTCTTCAGAATATCAGAGCATTGCCTGCTCTTAAGGTTTTGTCTTTCGATGAATGTGAGCTCAATGGCACCCTACCGACTCAAGGTAAATTTAGAAATCACTCTGTACCTACATAAAAGATGCTTTCATCGCGATTTTGACATGATTTGAGATAAAATGTACAGGATTGTGTGAACTGAAGAATCTGGAGCGGCTATATCTTTCTAGAAATAATCTAAGAGGTTTACTCCCAGCTTGTTTAGGAAACCTGTCATCTCTAAATCTATTAGATGTCTCTGGAAACCAATTTACTGGAAATATTGCCTTTGGTCCCCTTACCTATCTCATATCCCTTGAATTCCTCTCACTATCAAGTAACCACTTTGAAGTACCAATTTCATTGAAGCCTTTTACGAACCATTCAAAACTCAAGTTCTTCATCTGCGACAACAACAAAATAATAGCCGAACCCGCAGCCTTTCAAAATTTCATTCCAGAGTTCCAACTAAAGTTTTTAATCTTGTCAAATAGTTCATCAGGAACACGGAATGAAGAAATTCCCAAATTCCTCTATAACCAATATGACCTAAGAGTCCTTGATCTCTCGTCCAATAACTTCAGTGGAATGTTCCCTTCGTGGTTGCTTAAGAACAATACAAGATTAGAAGACCTCCACCTGTGGGAGAACTCCTTTGCTGGTCCTTTGCAATTGCAAAATTATCCAACTCCTAATATGGGAATAATAGATATATCCAACAACAACCTGCATGGTCAGATTCCCAGAAATATGTGTCTGCTCTTTCCAAAATTGAGGAGCTTAAGGATGGATGAGAACGGATTCACGGGTGGTATTCCTTCTTGTTTTGGAAATTTGAGCTCTCTAGGGTATTTAGATTTGTCAGAAAATCAGTTGTCTGCAGCAAAACTAGAGCAGTTGAAGACTTTAGAGTTTATCAGATTGTCAAACAACAATTTGGGTGGGCAAATATCTCCGTTAGTTTTCAACTCTTCTACCCTGAGATATCTCTACCTAGGCGGTAATAACTTTCGGGGATGGATATCAAACTTTCAATCAATCCAGGGGACACATTTGACAGCTTTGGATATCAGTGACAATCAATTTACAGGCAAGCTTCCGAGGTGGATTGTCAATATGTCTCTTGAGGCAGTTGATTTGTCCAAAAATCATTTTGAGGGTCCCGTTCCAAGAGATTTCTGCAAGCTTGTCTGGCTTGAATATTTGGACCTCTCTAAGAACAATTTGTCTGGTTCTATACCATCTTGCTTCAACCCACCCTATATCAGCCATGTCCATCTGTCCAATAATAGGTTAAGCGGTCCATTAACGTATGCATTTAATAACAGCTCTTCGCTAGTGACGTTGGATCTCAGAGATAACAACTTTATTGGGTCCATTCCGAATTGGATGGGCAATCTTTCATCGTTGAGTGTTCTTGTTTTGAAAGCTAATCATATTGATGGTGAGTTTCCTGTTCAGTTATGCTTGTTAGAATATCTAAGCATTTTGGATGTTTCGCAAAATAAGCTCTCTGGTCCTCTCCCCTCTTGTTTGAGCAACTTGACTTTCAAGGCAAGTTCCAAGATATCTGTAGGTGACTGGAGATCTGGTTTTGTATATACCTACATGATGGGTTCACCATCAGTGGACAGAATCTATAACTTGAAAAAAATTATCCAGAAATCACTTTTGAAGAAGCAGTAGAATTTACGACTAAAAGGTTGTCTTATAGTTACAAGGGCAATATTCTTAACTTCATGTCTGGTATTGATCTCTCCAGCAACAGTTTCTCTGGTGAAATCCCATTGGAAATGGGAAACTTGAGTGAGATACGTGTATTAAACTTGTCGCACAATAATCTCACTGGATCTATTCCTGCAAAATTCTCAAACTTGAAGTTGATAGAGAGCTTGGATCTTTCTTACAACAACTTGAATGGTGAAATCCCTATGCAGCTTATTGAAATGACCACTCTTGCAGTTTTCAGTGTGGCATACAATAACTTGTCAGGCAAAACTCCTGAAAGGAAAAATCAATTTGGAACTTTCGATGAAAGCAGTTATGAAGGGAATCCTCTTTTGTGTGGACCTCCGTTGCAAAACGATTGTAGAGAAGAACAACCACCATCACGGTCAACGCTCAATGATGAACAAGAAGATGATGGTTTCATAGACATGAACGCTTTCTACGTGAGCTTCGGAGTATGTTACCTAATTGTGGTGTTAGAAATTGCAGCTGTACTCTGCTTCAATTCAAATTTGCGACGCAGATGGTTTTACTTCATTGAAGACTGCATGGATGCATACTACAATTTTGTGGTGAATGGTTTTCGTTGGTTGTCCAACTTCAAGTTGTTGCAAATGTATGTTTAGTTATTAATGGGTGTTTGTTGCAGCATATTGGTGTCATTTCTTGCTTTTCTGTTGATGTAGGAAGACGAGTTCTGCCCACTAGTTCTTCTAGTTTTATTTTCTGGCTTGATTCTTGTCATCACTTTGTGCTTAGTAATACAGACTTTCTTAATAAAGAAAAAAAGAGCTCATTTCAATTGCAAAGTTCGATATATGTGTTGCTTTTGAGACAAGAAGGAATTTTCCCCTCTGTAATTTATTATGCTCTGTTCCTAATGATATTTATAAAAAGCTTGCAATTCTAAACAAGGATGGTTCATCAGAAATTGTGGTGAAAGGATTGTTCATCTAGTGATTGGATAGAGAAAGGAAAGGAATGGTGATTGCTGGAGCAAAACACCATGGACATATATGACAGCAATGTAGATTATCTGGATAGTAGACTTGTCACGGCTAGAAAGAAAAAGCAGAATGCTAAAAGGAGAAAATGTTTTGATAACGTCCTATGAAGTGGGGGAAGAGCAAAGAACACCTTGATCTCCGAATAAATAAATACTTAACTCTCAACTTCAAGATAGTTTATCACACCGTGATCAATTGGGGATGTAGCTCAAATGGTAGAGCGCTCGCTTTGCATGCGAGAGGTACAGGGTTCGATCCCCTGCATCTCCAAGATTGAAAATTTTGCTCCATCTTTCTTATTTATTGCAAGTTTTCCTGATGGGTCTGGAGGGTGGCTGTGAGAAATTTGAAAGGTATCAGAAGTTGGCTTTTTTTTTTTTTTTTCGTTTCGTGGAAAGGGATGGTAGAATGTCTCAGTAAGTCTGTGCTATCTAGTATACCTATCTACTATCTCTTACTGTTTAAATTGCTAAAGGGGTGGCCATGACTTTAATCTCTATTCAGAAATGCTTTCTTTGTTGTTGGATTTCTGAAAAGAGAGAAGTTTTTAAGGTGGCTTGGCGTAATGTTGCCAGACCAAAAAGGAATGGAGGTATTGGTTTATGGTCTATTCAGCTTGTTTTTGGGTTTTGTTGAAGAAGGCCTTTGGGCTTTTTTTGTGTCATATTTGAGCCAATGTTAGGAAAAAAAAAACACAATATAAAGAGTTTATGTGATTCACTAATAGTATTTATTCTACGATTGTATTGGAAATTATTAATAGGTTTTGTTAAGTAACGGTTATAAATATAAATAATATTATCTCTATTTATAGCATGAACAATTAGAGTTATATATAAAAAAAAAATTAATGATATCGTCATGTTTGTTTTGCATGATGTTTTATACTGTAAGTCTTCATCCACGTAAATTTAATGCTACGATTGGAATGATATTTTCTACAGTAATGACTGGGCTCTTTTTGATTGAGTTGGACCGGAAAACTCATCGGTCACTCTATATATATATTACAAATATGTTTTATTTATCAAAAATAAAAAAAAAAACTATATTTTAGCCACTTTGCTAACATGGCTTTCCTTTTATTGGTTGGATTTTGTAATTTTAGAGTTTCTGAGTAGTGTATAACTAGGATTAATGTCACCTCTGCTTGGGCTTTTTGTTCCATCTCAAAGTATCTGGGCCGACATTATATGACACTGCAGGTGGCGGATATTTTCTTGTTCATGGTGACCAGGATATTAAAAAAAAAAAAAGAAGTAAATTATAAAATAGGCTCTCTAGTTTTTTAAAAGAAATTAAATAGTCCCTCTAGTTTTAATAACTAATTAATTAGTTCTTATATTTTAAAATTTATTTATAATTTAATCATTTTCATTCTTTTTCAATTTAGTTTTTTTTTAATAAATAAAAAATAAGTCAAAAATACGAAACGATTGATGATAAAAAAAGATATTTTTTGAAATAAAATAATATTAAATTAATTATAATCAACACAGATCAAGGCCCTAAATAATTAATTTTTGAAACTAGAATAAGCATTTAATTCATTCAAAACTAAAAGAACTAATTTATAATTTACTCCAAAAAAAAAATCAATGGGCCAGGAGGAAATTTAAGTTAGGATTGTTGCTAAATGTAGCCCAAATTTAAAACGCTGCTGCCAAATAGAGAGGACTTGCAATGAGAATAGCGGCTGATAATAACAGTCAATTTCGGCTATTTCTCGATTTTTTTTCTTCCACCAAATCCATTTCATGACAAAAATCGAGGAAAAGGAAAAGGATTACATCACTGACTAATGAAGAATTATAAATATTTCATAAATGATAATATTCCACTATCTTAATATTTAACTTAAAATTCAGTGAAGGCAGCTGTCCTGCGGTTTCCATTTAACAAAGAGAGGGGCGCCGCGTGGGTTGGGGGGTGGGTTGGTGGGGGAAGCAGAGTAGTTATTTTCCTATCCTTCTGCCATATCATTGACAATTCAAAGTGTTTATGTAGAAGCTTAACTTCCCGACTCTTTGCTGAATCGTCAAAGGAATAGAAGTCTATTCAAAGTGTTATTTTTCTATCGCCAAAACAAAATCCTGCCAAGGTGAGAAATCGTCTCTTACCTTGGATTACCATTAGGAGCTAGACAAGGTGAGAAATCGTCTCTTATCATGGAAAGGAAACATATTATCTTTTGGTGAAAGAATTTGTCTCATTCAATCAATCCTCTCAAGTATTTCTTTATATTACCTTTCTTTATTTAAAATGCCTAAAGGTGTGATAAAAAAAAATTTATTTCTATACAACAACATTTCTTATGGACTAGAGGTTCAAACAATCGAAAGATTTATAAGGTAGCTTGGCATATGGTGGCTAGAACAAAAAAATAAAAAAAGGATGGAATGGGTATTGGTTCCATAACAGAAAAGAATGAAGCCTTGCTTTTCAAGTAGATATGGCAACTTAGTGGTAGTAACTCTTCATGTTGGCCAAAATTTATCTTTCATAAATACAAACCAACATATAGGAATGATCTCTCCTATTTTACAGGTAATTTATCTTCTTATTGAAAAAATATCTATTCGGTTTACTCAAGTTCAACACATTGTAGTCATGCTATTAAAGAAGTGTTTCAATTCAACACTGGTAATGCCATATCCATCATGTTTTGGAAAGATGTGTGGGCAAGTAGCACAAACTTTAGCTCAACTTTTCCAAGTCCATACAAGTTAGCTATTGACAAAGATTGCAAAGTTCAAATACGAGAGAGTGGTGTGGTTCGGGTTGGTTTTGAAAATTCAACCGAAGTAGTTCATGATTGGGAGGTTCAAGAAGTAGAAAGGCTACGGCATTTAATTTCAAATATTCACTTGAATCAAGGTGTTGACGATAAGAGAATCCGAGCTTATGACATAAAAGGCTTATATAATGTCAAGTCTTATTCTTCAATTTTGGATTCGATTTTGCTACATGGAGACTCACCTAGAGTTTCTTATGTTTGGACGAGCTTAGCTCCTCCAAAAGTAGAAGCTTTTTCCTGGTTAGCACCTCATTGTAAATTATAAACAAGGGATTTTCTTTTTCGTATTGGTCTATTGGAGTATTCAGCCAACTTACATCCTTTACGTAATGAATGTCAAACAACCGTGTCTCATATCTTTCTCTATTGCCATGAGATTTGGCGGTTGTTGTATAAAATCTTTTGCTAGTGGGGCTATTCATGGATTGTGTCCAATATTTGTGGATGATCTTTTTCAACAGTGGAGTTTTTATGTTCATGAGCATATGCAAAAGAAAGTATGGGATCTTGTTGTCTATTCAAGTCTACGATTGATTTAACTAGTGCGGAATGATGTTATTTTTAACAACACTCGCTCTTGATTGGGACAATATTCTTTTATTGATTTTTTATAAAGTGGTGCATTGAGCTAGATATATTGATGATAATTTTATTTATTCCTAAAATGATCTTCTCGCTTAGCTCAAATAAAAACAAAAGGTGGATAAACTCTTCAAGAACCCTTGGGCTATTTGAACGGATAATTTATTTATTTATTTTATAGTCTAGTTTTTGTAAGGAATATATTGAAGTTAATAAACTATAATAAAAACAATTACAAAATTCTTTTTGATATATATAAATATCGTTTATATAAAAAAATAAACAAATAAAACATGTGAATTTTATTTTTTAATTTATTATTTATTTTAAAAAAATTATTTAAAAATCTGTACATAAAGAAAATAAATCATATTTATTAACAAAAAAATTATATAAAAAAAGAATAAAAAATTATTTAGTTAGAATTTCTGTAAAAAATGACAATTAAAGAGATCAATTTTAAACAACAAATGTTATGTTTTTTAACTATAATAATAAAAAACAAGAACTTAATTAATTGGGCATGGCCAACGCTGACTTAGTACAAGAAGTCATACTTAATCTCGATTGACCTAAAAACAAGTTGTTTATAATAACAATAATAATAAAAAAAAGGCCTAATCGGCTTAACTTCCTCATCCTAACTTTGTCATTGGAAGTGTTCTCCATCAGAGGCATCCACTGTATCAGCAATTGTGAGCTTTTCCTCGTTGAAAAAGAGGTCTTCTAGATTGTATGGCCATACAGAAAGTCCATTTTTCCATAAAGTCTTGGCGATTTGCTTGTGGATCCTGTCTGTTGGATGGAAGGAATCCCACCAAACATAATCGTCAGCATTATCGCATAACTGGAACTCTGTGGGTTTCCTTTTGCCTCCACAGCTGTAGACGCCACCGTATGGACCAGTTCCACAGCAAGCCTTCACCCCCTCTTTGAAACCTTCAAAATTCGAATAGATTAGAATTTTGAGTGAATACCAGTAAGTTCTATTGTGAAAAAAAATGGCTTAACTTGTTCTTATATAATAAGGTAATTTCTCTTTGTAACATGTTCAATTCAAAATGCAATCAAGTTAATTTTATCTTAATATATCCTTTAAGTTTTTAATCTATTATTTTGACAAGTTTTTCAAACCAAATCACCAGAATTAATCACGTGATTTGCATATATATAACTATTCTTTATTCATATAAGTCAGACAAATGAAATAATTTCATATGAAAACTAACATCACTAATTTGGAAGCTTTAGCTTGAAGATCCTATCATAACGATATACTTGAAACTCAATATATATATTCAAGGATAAAATCAACTGAAATAGCGATATAAGAACATAATGAAAGAATAACCCTATTATATGCAAACAGGTTGAGTCATTAGCCCTTCAATTAATTAACTTAACCCAACAAAATACAATCACATTATATGACAATATAAATTAAATGTACATATTTTCAAAAAGTTAGCATTGTCATTAGCATAATTTTTATACAAAATTTTATATTAATTTATTTTTATTTCTTCAATTCAATCTTATGAAAAAAAATTAAGATTTTTTTTTAATTTTTATTTAGTTCATTACAAGTTTTTATTTAAAAATGAATACATAAGGAAGAAAAAAATCATGTTTTTTTTACCTATAAAATTTATGAATGACATAAAAAAGAATAAATTAAACACAAAATTTTGAATAAAAATTATGAAATTAATTTTAGAATATTAAAAAAATGATAGTAAATGGTTTGTGTTAAATGTGTAGATGAATAGTTAATTTTCAATAAAATTAATGATCTAAATTTTACACACACACACACACACACACACACATATATATATATGTATGTATATATGTATCATGACTATGCTTGAGTGATTAGAGTATGCGATATTAATAAAAAAATATTTTTTAAAAAAATTAAATTATAAGAAATATATTGAAGTTAATAGATCATAATATAAACAATTTCAAAATTAATTTTGATATATATTTTGCTTATATAAATAATAAACATATTAAACACATGAATTTTAATTTTTAATTGATTATTTATTAAAAAAACTTATTCAAAAATTCATACATAGAGAAAATAAATCATATTTATTAATAAAAAATTACATAAAAAGAAGAAAAAAATATTTGATTACAATTTCTATAAGAAATGAAAAATTAAAGAGGTCAATTTTAAACAATAAGTGTTGTATTTTTAATCATAAAAAATACAAAATTTTGATTAAAAATTATAACATCAGATGAAATTTTTTTTTAATTTTTAATCATATATATTTTAATTGACAAACAGTATAATACATATTATTAAATTGAAATAAACATTTTTTTTTCAGATCGACTAGTATAAGCTACAATCACCAAGACAAATCGACAAGATAAGGACATCTTGTCCTTAAATGGAAAAGAGGCCAATTCAGGTGCTGAAATACATTGCTTTGATGGCCAAACTAAGATAGCTACATGGGATTTAATGCTAGGCAAGTGCTTATGTTGTACATAGCAATTTAATCAGCAATGGTAAAGTGACCCTAGCAATAATTCAAGCCATTCCAATTAAGAATCACATCACATCCAGTAATGGACTTAATTCCATGATCCCCACGTGACGTTTAGAAGTTGATTGGACAGTAAAAGAAGACAGAACCTGAATTGATTGGGCACGACCGATCCTGACTTAGTACAAGAAATCAAACTTATTCTCGATTGACCTAAAAATCTGCATGAAGATACCTTGCTATTTATAATAATAATAATAATAAAAGGGCCTAATCGGCTCAACTTCCTCATCCTAACTTTATCATTGGAAGCGTTCTCCGTCAGAGGCATCCACTGTATCAGCAATTGTGAGCTTTTCCTTGTTGAAAAAGAGGTCTTCTAGATTGTATGGCCCTACAGAAGGTCCATTTTTCCATAAAGTCTTGGCGATTTGCTCATGGATCCGGTCTGTTGGATGGAAGGAATCCCACCAAACATAATCATCAACATTATCGCATAACTGGTACTCTGTGGGTTTCCTTTTGCCTCCACAGCTGTAGACGCCACCATATGGACCAGTTCCACAGCAAGCCGTCACCCCCTCTTTGAAACCTTCAAAATTCGAATAGATTTTGAGTGAATACCAGTAAGTTCTATTGTGAAAAAAAAAAGGCTTAACTTGTTCTTATAAATAAGAAGGTAATTTCTCTTTATAACATGTTCAATTCGACATGTAATCAAGTTAATTTTATCTTTATATATCCTATTATATAAATCAACTCAAATGGCGATATAAGAACAGATCGAGTCATTAGCCCTTCAATTAATTAGCTTAACCCAACAAAATACGATCACATTATATGCCAATTGGGGCTATATATGTTACTCCTCTGAAACAAATTTTGCACAACTCTCCTCAATAAAGGTATAGCATACATACCATAATTTGAGGGATTGCTGATTCTGTCATCAAGCCAAGCATAGAATTCAGAATTGCAATACTTGAAACCTTTCAATAGTTGTTCAAGGCTTGTGAGTACAGCGTTCAAAGCATTATTATGTGCTAATGCAAGACCAGAAGCTGCTTCAAAGCAGCCACCTTCACTAGCTTTAGGGTTCAATGCTCTCATGACTGGTAAGCAACCTAAAGGAGACAAGCTTAGAAACCCAAATTTTCTAGCTCCTTTCTCATACAACACCTAAAAAACACAGACAGAATTAACACTAATCGATCCAATATATATGAAGTAATACTATAACTTCAGAATTAATTTAAAAGGCTTACTTGAATTGCATTTGTCAAGTTTCCAATGACCATCCCAACATAAACTTCAGGCACATAATATTCTTGCATTTTTGGATCACCTAGATAACCTGCCAAGTAATCATTGCTTCCAACACTAATGAAATAAACTGCCTCTGATAAAAGTTCCTTTGCTTCTACTTCTCCTAGCTTTTCTGTCAATGACTTTTGCACCTCTTCAAAATTTTTTAGCTGTGTCTGAAGGTCAACCACCTAACGGTAAAGCAACTAGTTCAGTAACTGATCTTTACAATAAAAATTGGTAAGAACTCTGATTCCATCTCCAGCTCAATGACTGAATAACCAAACTAAAATGGTCATCGAAACTAGACTGTGGATCAAGAGATTGCTTACCAACCCTTGATTGCTGTGAGGAAGAACTCCAGCCCCACCAGAGGCAAAGTTAACACCATTTGTAAAATCAGCAGAGGATTGATAAAACGGAGGAATTATCGGCAATTTTGCATATTCAGCTGTAAAAAAAAAAAACAAATGTTATTAGTTTTGAAGATACTCATACGAACCATGAAAAGAGAGAGATTTGCGGACTGTGCATACCAATAAAATCAACAATGACACGGCCATCAGAGAAGCGCCCAGTGGGTGCTTTGAAGAAACCATTCTGGCCGTAAGGTTTCCAATCTGCTCGCATGTCAACTGTAGTGTTGATGTAGTTATTGTTGCCAGGATCAACAGTGGAGTCCCCAAAGATGAACAAGGCACTAGTAGTCTTCTCTGGTAGAGCAAAACATTGCTTCAAACTAATTGATAATGCCAGAATCACAAGTAGGTAAAAGAAGTGACCCATGTAAGTATTAAGCCTGGCCATTGGATAGAGTAGTGGTACAAAGTCTTCCCCTTCTTGAATATCCAGAGAAGACAGGGTTCAGTTTCATTTATACAGGTGAGCCTGTGAATGCTTCTTCTAGATATTATCACTTCGACAGTACCAATGCTCCGACAAATGTCTCCTAGCTCTGAGAAGGGACAAGTAGTTGTTAGAATATTAATCCCTTCGTTATTTTCAACAATATCTTGGTTCTTGAATCAATTTGTGGGGTCATTGGTCTTATAATTAGTTCTTTTTCAGAAAGAACGGAAAAAAAAGGTCTCTTTTGGTTCTTCATACAAAATCTTTTATTTATATTTTTTCAAAATTATATTTGAACTATTTTTTTACAAAATAAATTTTAATTAAGTATATTTTAAAAATGTATATTGTTTTGACCGGCATGCAAACCGTCATCTTTCCTTGGTACTTTGGAAAGGTCGTCCTTCTTTGTATTTTAATCTGGTATGTATAGTAATATTCATAGCAATCTTTCTTAAAATGCTCTGTCCTGTTATATCTAAGCTTCAAGTTTGAGTCAGTTTCTAGAAAGCAAGTAGTTTCTGTTACAAGCCTGATGTCAACGACTTGATTCCAGGATTTCTTCAAACAGCATATTTGAGTCCAGGAATCTTCCACACCAAATTCTTTCGTTTCCCATGCCGCCATTTCTTCATAACTATCATAATAAGCACAAAGATTTCGTCTCATGGCGGCCAGTTGAAACCTGGTGAAAAAGATCATGCTTCTTAATGGTTGTAGCCCAAGATCCTAATTAGCAGGGCCAATCAACAAGAAGTCAACATTTTTAACAAAGATTTTGTTGTCATGGCCAGACAAAGGATTCAGGCATTCCACACATAATGTAAGAAAATCCCCTGTCGCAGGAAGTTGCGTGGATATTCCCACATTATGCTCAGAATTGTCTTTGCATAAAGGCATGAAAGTCAATAACAGTTCCATCTGTTCCATAATTCTGTCATCACTAAAGATCTGTAAACCAAACAACTAGATAGATGTCCGAAACACAAGGAGAATCAAACACCAAACTGTAAAATGTCGTGCTGCAACGAGAAGCTACTAAGTAGCTCCATAAAAGAACAGACTTGTAACTTATGCTATCGGTACCACAGTCTACTACCTAGACAGCGGAAACATTTCAGACCACCTCAAGTATATATACATGATGTCGCTCAAATTAACATTGGCTTCCAAATGCTAAAGTGACAACACTAGACAACATTGGCTTTTCGAATCTCATTAGCCTCTTTGATACATCTGCTTCCTGATTGTAGATGATTAGTTCCGTACCATAATCTGATAGTATTATATAAATTCACCTTTCTTCGTAAAAGCCAGTGGCTTTATACGAACCATCTCTATTGATGGCATAATATTACACACATTGATCCAAGATTCCTTCACTCCATATTCCTTCATCTCCCACATCTTTAATGAACAAAACCATGACAGCATCCAAAAAGGTTTCCTCCCATTGCAGCCAGTTCATAAAAGGTTACAGAATTGCAGGGTTTCGGCACTTCAATGAATTTCTCCTCTTTCGCATCAAAGGACAATATCACATTTATTCGACGATAACCATATTCTGCACCAGCATAATAATGGCAGACCCAATGTAGAGCTCCATTTACCGATACCCCATGTTGATCAAAATTGTCAGCTAAGTACGGGAAGTCTCTAATGATCGTCTGAGAGTTGGTGTCAAAGGAAAATACAGAGCGAAACGGCAGTAACTTCAGCTGCCCAGCCCCCGACACTGCACTCACTACCTTGTGCTAATTCTGAGAAGAATCATAACAAATACCTTAGAATTCCTTACACTCCCTGGTGCATGGATTTAAAAGCCACAGCCTGTGATTTGTTTGAGAACTCAAAAGCAGCCAACTACCACAAGAAGCCATTACCTTAACATATTCCTTGAATGGAGACTCATCTGTTACCATTGAAGCATTGACATCAGAGTCCAAAGTTGCTTCGTAGCAGTCTAAAGTGGCTTGCAAACAGAACGAAACCTGCTCAAAGACTTAGCTTGTACTCTTCGTAGAATTTCCATTATCATATCCTCTGGAATACTTGTCATCTTCCTCTCTGCTTTTTTCTTCTTTATCTCCATTAATCCAGGGAAGAACAAAACCTTTTCAATCACATATATACAAAACCAAAATTTACAAAGTCATTATGACAACAAGAAATAGATTGATTAAATAGAATTAGACCAAACGAATCAAACCTTTACAAAATTTAAGAACAAAACTATGGCAGGAAAAGAGGGAAGATACTAACAAGAAATCAAAATTTGCAGTTCACAGGTGTGATGATTAGAGGCTGCCCTCTACTGGTTAATCAGAATTTTTATTAATTCTACGAAAAAATAGTCCCAAATAGGATGAAGGTTACAGGTAGGGATGGCAATTTGTCCCACCCCGACGAAGCCTCACCCCGGTCAACACAAGGATTCCTCGATTTGATTGAGAAACGGGGCGGGGTGGCAATTTGCCCCACCCCGACGAAGCCTCGCCCCGGTCAACGCAGGGATTCCCCGATTTGATTGAGAAACGGGGCGGGCCACCCCACCCCATATTTATTTTGAACGGGGATGGTATCCATTTGCTCCCCTCTATTTCTGAAATTACAATTATGCTCTATATAAAATCTGTAACTACTAACTCTTAGGATTTATTTTCTATATGAATTATTATTTTTTTGTTATAGTTTGAAATTTGATAATAGAATGAGACAAGATGAGACAGAAACAAAAAATTAAATGAAGCACCAATGCTCCTGGAGGATCCCGCCCCCATTTGGAGCAAGGATTGTATGAGAAATATTATCCTGCGTGAGGCATTAGATGTAAACAGAGCAAAATTTTCAATAACGAGCCATCTGGCCGACCCCACCTCATTGTCATTCCTAGTTACTGGAGAATATCATTGATTCCTAGTCCATTTATACATCTAGCAAACCGACCTCTTTCTTTTTTGGGGCTGAAAACCTATCCACTGGTACGTTCATCAGAATTTTCTAAGACCAACTAGGGTTTTCTGGCTTTATATATTTTTTGGTCTAATGGAATTATTAATACAATGTAGGAATAATTAGTCCTAAATGTTACAAGAGATTAATCCCAAAAAAATAAAAAAAATACAAGGAACCAATGTGAGCATCCTCTGCCCTTCTCTTCCCTTATTCCTTTGCCACTTTCTTCCCTCCTCTCCGGTCACGTAATTAAGATTGATGAACTAAATCAGAGACTGGCATTTGGTGATAACATAGATAACTCAGTCTGCATCAAAAGTGCTGATATTTCTGAAAACTGTTTGGAATGCCTCTTTATTTTTCTTTTGTATGTTCTCACTCCCTCGTTATCTGGGACCGTCAATGGTTTATCGAAAACCAAATCAAACAAAAAATAGAATGATCAGCATAGGATTCAAGAATTTCCAAAACATGAGTAAATAGCACATCATATCATATATGCGTTTGAGACCGTCACTTTAAAATTTTGATAAAATTATTTTGGTGATTCTATCATTTTACATTATGAATCATAATAACATAATTTTTAATTTCTGATTTTCTTAACAATCAAGTTAAAAAATTTCAATTCTTTATTCATATTAATTTATAATAAATTTATTTATTTATTATATGAATTTTTATTTATTTCTTTTATGTGTTTGGAACAACAATAATAATATTTTCTACCTTGTTCGTAGTTTATCCATTCAATTATTAACAAATGATATAGATTAAATTTATTATACTTCACGTTTGATTTTTCCTTATGTTATACCTTGAACCTCTAGATCAATTTTATGAGTACTCTTTACAAACTTGAATATTCATATTCATGTGAAATGAAATGAAAAAAAAAAAAAACCAATCTTCCTCGTAACGATAAGAATAGGCATAAATAACAAAAGGGCACAATTGTGACATTTTTTTTCTTAATATAATATTTGGCTTAGCTAATTACTGTCATTTTCGTCTGTTGAAATATTGATCAAACCCAGTTGTCGAGTCAGAATTAAGGCATCATAGAACCAATCAGAAGATGAGCATGGCAATATATACGAGTTAAAATTATAAATTAGTCCTTTTAGTTTTGAAAAATAAATTAATTGTTTTTTTGTTTAAAAAACTAATTATTTAGTTTTTTTTAATCTATTTTAAGTTATTTAAAAAAATAGAAAAATGAAAAAAAAAGATAATATTTGGAAAGATAAATGATTCAAGAAGAGATTTTTTAAATTAAGCATCATCACCACAAATCAAATGACTAAATAATTAATATTTTTTTAAAAGGAAACTAATTAATTTATTTATTAAAATTAGAGTGACTAATTTACAATTTACTCAATTAAGGCATCATAGAACCAATCAGAAGGTGAGCATGGCAAGTATATTCTTCCATGTTCTTATATGCCTTTCTTTATTTCCTTAATATAATATTTAGCTTAGCTAATGTCACTTTCTTGTTGAAATGTTCATCAAACCCAGTTGTCCGGTCAGAATCAAGGCATCATAGAACCAATAAGAAGATGAGCATGGCAGATTTACGATTAAAAATTATAAATTAATCTCTTTAGTTTTGAGAAATAAATTAATTAATCTTTTTTGTTTTAAAAACTATTTATTTATTTATCTATTTTATGTTATTTAAAAAATAGAAAAAAAATTAATAGATACTATTTGGAAAGATAAAAGAGACAAGAAGAGATTTTTTAAATTAAGCATGATCAACACAAATCAAATGACTAAATAATTAATATTTAAAAGAAAGGAAACTAATTAATTTATTTATCAAAATTAGGGACTAATTTATAATTTTCTCAATTAAGGCATCACGGAACCAATCAGAAGGTGAGCATGGCAAATATATTCTTCCATGTTCTTAAATGCATTTCTTTTCTTTCCTTTTTTTTTTTTTTTCTCTCTTTCTATTCTTCTTTTATTATAATATGTCTTTCTTAGTCACAGAGATTCGCCAGGAATCTACAGCTGCTAAGCGAAAATATATTTTTGACCAAAAGACCCAGCCTGAACGAACAAGACACCCACCCCCTCACAAAAAAAATAAAATAAAAAAAAATAAAATTATTACAAGTTTACAACAATTATCCCATTATTTTATTTTATTGATAATTGTAGAGAAAGAATGCTATTCATTACTAAATTATATAAGACAAAATTGGTTTCTCGAAAAGCATAAACTATTTGACTGTGGACTTTACATGTGGAGTTTATCAGTAAACGATATGTAAGTTTTATGATATGTTTTTGTATTTAATTGTATGATAAAAAGATTTAAATTGAAAGGAAAGATCATTGTCATTCTTGTTTATCCTACTATCAAATGAAAAAGGATTTTTTTTTTTTTTAAAAAAAGTTGATGCTGTTTGTCATTATATACTTGATTGAATTAAATTTATTTTTGAATATGCATTAAGTTTTTTTTAAAAAAATTATTTTTTAACAAAATTTTTAGATTAAACAGTCAAAATTAAGTCATGAAATTTGCATAAAATATATTTTTTTCAAAATATCTTCATAAGTTACAAAAATAGAAGGTTTTTATGTACATATATATATATCACATATTAATTTTAATAATTTAGTCTAAAAATCTATTAAATAATAGACTAGAAACTTAATATGTATTCAAATATACAATTAACTCAATTAAAAATATAATGATAGATTGAAAAATTATCCTATCACATAAGAATATATTTGACCATTAAATAAAAAAGAAGCGAGAAAAAGATTCCCAAGATTTACAATAAAAATAATAGGTTAATACTAAAATTTTAAAAACAAAACCAATATAAATAAAAATAAATAAAATTCAGTCATTGATTTTGCTTTTCATACTATTATTTTGATTTAGAATTTAAATTCAAGTTAACAAAAAAGAAGAAGAGATGAATGCGCCAATTTTAATGTAAAAATACCCATTGATACAGACCAAAAAGTATTTTAATTTGATATAAAAAAAACTCTTCAGAAACTGCTTAATTAAAAAAAATAATAATAATAATGGGGATCATCGATGGAAGTAAACTATAAGTCAGTCCTTTTAGTTTTCTAAAATAAATTAAATACTCTCCTTACTCTTAAAAATTAATTAATCAGTCTTTATGTTTTTCAATTTATTTATAACTTAAAATATTTTTTCCATTTTTTCAATTTTTTATTTTAAAAATAAAAAAGTAAAAAATATGGAGAGATTGATAAGGGACGAAAATTAAATTAACGATGATTACCACCGGTCAAAGGCTAATTAATTCTCTTTGTAAAAAAAGATTATTTAATTCATTTTCTAAAACTAAAAGGACTAATTTATAATTCACTCTCGCCGATGGAGTATTAAGAAATCAACCCAATAAAATGTGGGGTCTACAAATTGAATATCACTTTTAACCTAACGTCGTTAAGTCAGCAACGCCGTTAACTCATCAGACCCATATTTAAACACGGGTCGATAAATAGGGACTCTCTCTTTCGCATTTCATTCATCTCTGTATCTGGGCAGCTTCTCTATAGACTCTGCCCTCTCTCTCCCTCTAGGCCTTTGTAAGTCATCTCTCTCTCTCTTCCTAATGATTTTCATACCATTATTCTAGATCCTGATCTGGGTTTGGACCTTGTTTCGGTTCTATGATCTGCTTTTTTGGTTTTTGTTTTAAAGGTCCATGGATCTGACCATGTTAGATTAGATCTTTTTTTTGTTTGTTTGTTCAGTTTTTCAATGACCCTTGTGCCTGTTTTGTTTGTTGGTGTTGATTTAAGAGAGATTATGTATCTATAAAACCTGGGTTTGGTGTGAAATAATGAAATGAAAATAAAGGAATGGGCTTGGATCGTTTTTATTTATTTATTTTTATCAATAGATTGAACTCTGTATTGTTTCCCAAATGGTGTAAAAAAGGATTTTGCTTGTATTTTTATGAATGTGTATTAAGATCTTGCTTGCTTGTGTTTTTTTTTTCCTCGATATTTTGATTGATTGGTGTGAATAAGAGAATGTTATGGAATATGTAAAGTTATATTTTTTTGAAGGTTGATTGTTGAGTTTTTGATCCAGGTGATATTTAGGAAAGATGGGGCTTTCATTCACTAAGCTTTTTAGCCGTCTTTTTGCAAAGAAAGAAATGAGAATTCTCATGGTGGGTCTTGATGCTGCTGGTAAGACTACCATCTTGTACAAGCTCAAACTTGGAGAGATTGTCACCACCATTCCTACAATTGGTATGATACTCGAAATTTACCAGTACCTTGAAGTTATTTCAGTATTGAATTTATCGTGCTCTCTTGTTTTGTTTGGCTAATTGTCTGTTTCTGTTCAGGGTTTAATGTGGAGACTGTAGAATACAAGAACATAAGCTTCACTGTCTGGGATGTTGGTGGCCAGGACAAGGTAGGTAAATTTTGTAAATTGGAATGAGAACTTCGGGTATAATGACAATATTAGGAAAATGTATCAAATTGTTGTCTGTGTCATAAACATTTCATCTTTAATCATAGACTGACAAGATTAATGTTTGTGCTTGTCTGTGATTGCAAAATGTGCTTATTGACGGTCTTGTGCTGATTAGTTATTGCTCCATCAGCACATAATCAAATCATAAGCTACATGGCTTTAGCCAATTAATGTTGCAATTTTTCCTTTTTCTGTACTAAGGAAAAGCTATCCATTGTCTGGCTGAAATTTTACTTTAAGCATTTGCACTCTTGCACATGCCTCTGTTGTCTATGTTTCCCTAGTTTGGTTATGGGTGCTTATGGACTATGGGCTTGTGCTGATTGGATGCTTTGGCATTAGCACACAACAAAAACATAAGCTATAATGAGTAGAGCCATCTTGTCTTTCATGTTTTTCCTCTTGTTGGAATGAGGAATGGCAATCCATGATATGACAGGCATTTTGTTGTCTGGTTGTAAATGTTGTGTGGTTGAAGTTTTTGGTTATTTAAGTGCTTATCGACGGTCTTGTGCTGGCTAGTTGTTTTCCACCAGCACATAACATATTCGTAAGCTACATTAATGAAGCCACTTTGTCTTTCAGTCTCTCCTGTCTTTGTAAGGAAAAGCTTTTGATGCTGTGGTGTACATCATAAATCATTTATCTAGTCATTAAAATGTATGATTATATTTTGTGCAATGCATTTATTTGTGCATATGTGGGCCATAATGAATCCATCTATCACTGCTAACTAAAGTTGTAACTATTTTGAATTTGGTTATGTAATCTGTTATGCTGATCAATTAAGGATGTAACTTAAGTTGAATTGGAAGCATGTATAGGAAAAACAACCTGCTGTTCATGTGCAGTCTGTCACCTAGTAGACATTTTGTGTCTTACAGTCTTCAATATTTTTTGGGTGTTGTATTTTCTTAAGTTACATGTTTAATGAAAAAGGATTTGTTCCTCAAATTGTTTTTCTAATTTGCACAGATCCGACCATTGTGGAGACATTATTTCCAAAACACTCAAGGGCTAATCTTTGTGGTTGATAGCAATGATCGTGACCGTGTGGTTGAAGCTAGGGATGAGCTGCACCGGATGTTGAATGAGGTAGTCATAAGCTTTACTTCTTTCTTCATAACTTTTACTTTTGTGGCTTTGTGCTTTTTAATAATGAAAATTTCTATTATATGAATAGGATGAATTGAGGGATGCTGTGCTACTTGTGTTTGCTAACAAGCAAGATCTTCCCAATGCTATGAATGCTGCTGAAATTACAGATAAGCTTGGTCTTAATTCTCTTCGTCAACGCCACTGGTAAATGATAATATCTACATTATGAATTGCTCAATAGTTTACTGCTTTATAAATGTTCATGGATGCCATCCTATCTTGTGTGTTTATTGCAGGTATATCCAGAGCACCTGTGCCACTTCTGGTGAAGGTCTCTATGAGGGACTAGACTGGCTCTCCAACAATATTGCTAACAAGGTATGGTCATAATGATTTTTTGAAATAATGACAAATGTTTTGAGTCTTGTTTGAAGTAACATTGTTTTATGATTGTGGCAGGCTTAAGAGATTGGTGGAATTCTGCAGCTTTGCGGGTAGCATTTTGCTTCAATTTGGTAATACTGATAGGTTGTTTGGTGTTCGAGGATTCCTTATCCTGTAATATTTTGTCGAGAGAAGAATGTATTTGTTTGGTTTTGTAAGATATTGCTACTGTAATAGAAATTGGCAAATTATCACTATTAACAAAAAAAAAAACCTAAAAGAACTGAGATGTTGACTGTTCATCACTGTTCATTTGTTGTAGTTTGTTTTTTTTTTTTTTTTGAACTTTTGTGGGCAATAATATCGAAGTTATGCAAATTTTTATACTTTGGTTCTTAATATTTTTGAATGTTTTGTTTTGATTCATATCTTCATTTGTTGATACATTTTGGTCCCTAAGTATATAGAGGAGGGAGGAGGGAGGAAAGAAGAGAGTGTCGGTTAATTTTATTTAGGTCACTTTGATTGTTGAAACTCCATGTCGACTAAATTTATTTAGGCTACTTTGGTTGATGAAACTTTATTAGATTTTTTATTTTTATTTTTGAGAGATGAATTTATTCATTTTTTATTATGTTTTTTTTAATGTGCATTAAAATAATTTTTAAGGTTTTAAAAACGTTTATTGACATTTTTATTTGATCATTTAATTGTATTCGGAAGAAAAAATAATGTTGAAATTGAGTTTTTTGGGTTCTAAAAATTGATCTTTGATTTTTTAGCAAATCTTTTGGTGAATGAGAGCTTGTTGGAATTTGTCGTTTTTTTTTTTAATTCAATAATTTTTTTTTATATTTTTTATCATAAAATTAGATATGAAAATATAAAAAATAGATCCTTATTTATTTATTTATTTTTTTTTAAGTTTTACTTATAGTTTGATGTAATAGAATAGATATAATATTTTTTAATATTTTAATTTGAATATATATATATATATTATTCTTATTTTTAAAATTTATTTTTCAATTATTTGTTTCTTATTAAAATTCTCATTTAATTTAATTTTATTTGTTAATAAATCTTTTTTTATAAATGGATTTTGAAATAAAATTTTAGAACGTAATTATTTTATTTTTTAAAATATATTATTATAATTAATAGGATTGATTATTTTTATAATTTTTAAACGAGAATAGCGTAGTCGTGTGTATAAATTATGACGAGAAAGAGATGAGGAGAGCTAAAAGTATTTTTTAGATAATTTGATTTAATTTTTTAAATAAATTAATAATTAGTTAAAAAAGAATTTTTAGATTTTATTTACTATATAGAATTTATTGAAATCAATTTTAAAATAATTTTTATTTAAATCTATTTACTTCGATGTATTCTATACGATTTAGGTAGGTTTTTTTGTATATTTTTTTATTTATTCTATATATTCTAAATTTATTAAGTATTATATGTATAGTTTGTTAGAAATTAATTATATATCTGCACGAGATAACATCAATTATTTGTTATTTATTTTTTTCATATTCTAAAATCTGTATTTTTTTATTTATTTTATATATTACGAATACGTTAAGCGTGTATGTGTATATATATATATATATAGTTTTGTTAGAAATTAATTATATATCCGCACAAATAACATCAATTATTTATTTATTTATTTTTTTCAAGTTCTAAAATCTATATTTTGAAATAAAATAATTTAATTAACGTTTTAAAAGAATCTCCCAATTATTCAAATATAAATTTTTATGCTAATATTATAAATTATTTTGTTAATAAATATATATAAATCAAATAATTTCGTTCAATATATAAATTCGATCTACATTAATCGTTAGAAACAAAACTTTTACTCACACCATACTATACGAATCATTAATCCTACATATATAACGGTTGTTTAAGTACAACGTAGCTCAAATATCTAACTAGTAAATACTAAATAATTCATGATTAACAGTTTTAACATAATGTCTTCGATTCAAGTTCTTGTATAGGATGGTTTCTTTCATTGACCAGCCAATGCTTGATTCTGATGGTTGCTATTTTGCCCTGTAATGTGGCAGTTGCAGGGCTGTACTCTCTGAACCTTCCGAAATTCAAAACCCTGCAATTTTTAGTGAATGTGAACCTTGCATTTCAGGTTTTTTTTTTTTTTAATCAGTTTGCGCTCATGATTTATCAGAATGAATAATGTTGTAAAAGTTTGACCAAATCCATGGTATTCCCCCTTTACTTGTGGATTTTATTCGTTGCAAGGATATTTCTGGCACCAGGTAATGGCTAAGCCTACAATTGGAAGATTATATATTTCTGGCACCAGGTAATGGCTAAACCAGCAACTGGAAGATTTTTTTTATTGGGGGTTTTGTGCTCCCTCGCTTCAACAAAATGGTTGCCACCTTTGGATGGACGTTGGCTTTGGTTTTGTTCGTCTTCGAGCAATCTTTTCTTCGTAGCATCATCTATGATTGTCATTGGCAGATGGATGCTGGCTTCCATTCGCGAGCAATCTTTTCTTCATAACTTCTGTCTGTCCTTCACCAACTTCCAAAATGCCTCCACAACGATCCTACAGTCATTTGTCTTTCGATCTCACGTATTATCCAGTCTAAGTGGTTTAAATCTCTAGTTATTTGAGAATTAGTTTTTAAATTTTTAATTTGGAGGTTTCAATCGATTCTAACGGTGAAAGTAAAGTTATGGTTTTTTGTTTTTTCTTTTGAATTTTTTTTCTAAAATATTTTTTAATTAATTAATTTTTAGCATTTAGGAGGAAAGAAATAAGTTTTTGCCAAAAAGGTAAATTATCTATAAATTTGGATATGTTTTTAGGTGATAATAAATTACATTTACTTGTTAGAATGGATAAAAAGTCTTAACAGAATTGAATAAATAAAAAATAATACCGATTCTTAAATAACTTAAAGTTGGTATATACCTTGAGACCTTTTAGCCCATTACCAATACTACCAATGGTTACTTATAAGTTGTGGAAGGTTTGAAATGAAATGAATTTTACCCTCGTTGGTCCAAAAGGGCAATTTTCTATTAGCTTTTAATATCTTCATAAACGAACTAAGGCTAAATGATTCAAGTCATTTATAAACTTTAATTAATTTGAAATTGAATCTTTGAATTTTAAATTTAATTTTTAGAATCCTTGAGCTTTTACTTTTTTGTGAAATTTAGTTCATTTAATGATTTTCATATATCACCTTCGTTTCTAAAAAGTTCAATTCTTGATATTTTGAACTGAAATTTTATACATACGTTGAAAAAAATCAAATCCATTTATTAGAAAAATTCCCATAATTTTTTAAAATAAAAAAAAATTTGTTTAGTTTTTAAACATTAAAAATATAAAAATGGAAAAAATAGAAAATAATTCGGAATGATCTCAAATTTTTTTAGGAATTCCATATAAATCTCATTGAATGATTTCTATCATGAAGCTATATATGTGATTGTTATTTTTTTAGGATAAATGATAAAAAAAACTAAAGGACATACTAAATCTTAGAAAACCAAATTTGAAGTTAAATAAGTTAAAATGGAGGAAATATTTGACCCCATTCACCCAAACAATAGATACTGACACGGATATGGCAACTGTATATTGCCTCTAGCGTTGTGGCTCAATAGTCGGTTGAGTCGGACCGGCTTTATGATTCGCCACACATCAAGAAGAGAAGAAACAGAGGGTTGATTTGAATGAAAGAGATTTTAGTTGCTTAAATAAGTAGTCTCGAGTTTGAATCTTTACATACGTAAAAAGCTCTTTGAGTAGCTGTGCCTGTCTTGTATATCCGACAAAATAACAAGAGATTAGTCAGTATTTTTAAGACTGTGATACCTTAGAGGATAAAAAAAGAGAAAAGAGGGAAAAGGGCACAAATATGACATTCTTTCTTTGATAGTTACATTGGAGTCACTCTTATGCAAATGTCACTTTCTTTAGTAGAGTTATCGACCAGACAGAATCTCGCAAGGAAATATAGAGCCGATAGGAAGATGAGCATGGCAACATATTCTTCCAATAAGCAAGCATATTTCCCAAGTTCTAATATGCCTTTTCTTCCTCTCTTTCTCTCCTTTGTTATATGCCTTTCTTATCAGTCACAAGATTCTCCAGAAAATCGAAGCTTCCAACTCCAAGAGAAAATACATAGAAGATCCATTCAAGTAGAAGAGTTGAGCTTGAAAATCAGTAGACACAACCCATCGGAGGCTGTATGAACAAGAGCGTTCATCCTCCCATTCCCGAAGTAAAAAATGCTCATCATATAAGCTTACACCAATTATTTTCACCACAATTTTTTTTTTTTTTTATATTGGTAAGTATAATTTAGCACCGTACCTTTTCTATTTTTATTTTTCTTGGTTATGCGTAAAATCATGAAAAACTTGGCTGTGGACTTCACATAAATAAGTTTAAGGACAAAAACAAAAACAAAAACATTTTTTTTCCTTTTAATTCGAATATAAAAAGTATTTTCAGACTAGCACATGCTTCAAATGATATCAGGTTAGTACGTTTAGAAGAATTTAATACCTCTGAGATTTGAATCCATGAAAAAAAAAAAAAAAGGAATATGAATTTTTAATTACCAAACCAAACCCTTTCAAATTAAACAAAAATAAAATAAAAAATAGGTTCGCAAAATAAAACAAATAACTTCAATACATAATGTTGCATCTCCTTTATGAAACCATGATTTCTGTGCGATATGTTTGTGTATTAAATTTTTTGGTAAAATATTTTTTTTAATAAAGAAATTATTATTATTATTATTATTATTTTGTTTTTGTTTTACTAGTCTCTTGCATGAACATCGAACTTATCTTAAAACATATCATACACATTTAATCTAGATATTGATGAAAAAAAATTGTAGTTTCATCTTCAATTCAAAATAAAAAATTATAAAAGAACCATATTTAACCTAAAAACAAATGATGATTTAAAAAAAAAAGAACAACTAGTAATATAATTATCCGTTTTGAAAATTTTGTATTTGTTTTATATTTTAAATCTAATTGGTGATTAATAGGACATAAATCTTTTCTAATAAATTCATTAACTATTATTAAAATAAATATAACATATTATTTATTCTCAACATCTCTTTATTGCTCACATGATTACAAAGGAAATAAAAAAAATTGTTTTGGTTACCAAACCTAAACCTATGAATCATGTACATTTTGATTAACTTATTACATATTCAGTTCGTAATATTAATCTAAATTTACAAATCAAAAACCTTAATCATAACTTAAAACTTTAAAATTATAGTTTTGTTCGAACAAGGCTATAATCAAGTTCGATTAGCTGACTTTTCAGGTTTGGTTCAAACACACAGTAAATTTAGGATTTTTGCCAAATTAAAATTTAAAAACAAATTAGTGATTATGCATAATAAATCCACCATCCCCATATATATATATATATATATATGTAAACAACTGTCCCAATAAAAAATGATAAGTGGGGTCCAGAAACTGAATCTCACTTTAACACTAACGTCGTTAAGTAATTAACGCTGTTAACTCCGATCCATATCTAAATTCTACACACACATTGATAAATATCTCCCTCTCTTTCCCATTTCTTTCATTTCCCATCGTTGCATAGCTTCTCTGTAGGTCTTGCCCTCTCCCTTCCTTTTCGTCTCTGTAAGTCGTCTCTCTCTCTTTCTCTCTTCCTATATAAATATTTGATTGCTGATGTTAATACTGTAGATCTTGATTGGTCTTATTCTGGTTCTAAAGTTTGGATTTTTGTTCTTTGGGTTTTCTGTCAAAAGGTTCATAGATCTGACCCAGGTTAGATTAGATCTGTTTTGGGGATGTTTGTTGAGCTTTTTGATGACCGTTTTGCTTCTTCTTTTTTGTTGGTATTTATGTAAGGGAGTCTACGAGTCTATAGAACTTGGGTTTGGTGTGAAATAATGATAGGTTAATGAAGGAATTGGAAGGCATGGGCTCTGTACCGTGTAAAAGTTTAGATTTTTTGAGATTTTTTTCTCTGATTTGTGAAATGGTATTAAAAAGAAAAATTTTGCTTTTGTTTTTGAGAAAATATGTATGGAGATCTTGCTTGCATGTATTTTGAAGGATAGATTGTTATAATAGATGTAAGTGAGTTTTTTGTAAGTTTGTTTTTTGATGTTTTGATTTGCTTATTTGTTTTTGATGCAGTTGAGAATTTGGAAAGATGGGGCTTTCTTTCACCAAGCTTTTTAGCCGTCTTTTTGCCAAGAAGGAGATGCGAATTCTCATGGTCGGTCTTGATGCTGCTGGTAAGACCACCATCTTGTACAAGCTCAAGCTCGGAGAGATTGTTACCACTATTCCGACAATTGGTATGTTCTTGAAATATTGCTGGTACTTTATTGTTGTATTATTGTCGAATTTGTTTGTTTTCTTTTTTTGGTTTATGTAAGGGATGCTTATTTGTGGTTTTCATTTTAGGTTTTAATGTGGAGACTGTGGAATACAAGAACATAAGCTTTACCGTCTGGGATGTTGGTGGCCAGGACAAGGTATGAAAAGTTCTGTTAAACCGTAATGACAACTCTGAATATCATGGTGCCATTAGGGAAATGAGTTAATTTTCATCTTTTCAATTTGCTGTTTCTCAAATATTTCAGCTTTAATCATTGGCTAAGCCTGACATAACGTGCCTTTATGTTTGTATTTGGTGTCTTTGGTTGTAAATGTGCATATGGTCTTGTACTGATTGGATATTGCTCCATCAGAACATAACAAAAAACATAAGCTACGTGGATTTTAGCTACTTAATTTTATTCTTGTTCCTTTTTCTTGTGAGGAAAAGCTATCCATTGTGGCTGAAATTCTAAAAGCATGTGCATGTGTGCACATACCTTTGCTGTCTGAGTTTCTCTTCTTTGGTTATATATGTGCTTATGGATGGTCTTGTGCTGATTAGATACTTGGCTTTAGCATGCAACTGAAACGGTAGCTGTAATGGCTAGAACCATCAACTTTCATGGCTTTCCTCTCTTTGGAATGATGAATGGCTATCCTTGATGTGGCAGAAATTTCATTCTGTTGTTGTGAACGTTGAGTGGTTGAAGTTTTTGCTCATGCTTGTGCTTATGGACGGTCTTGTGCTGGCTAGTTGGTCCTCCGCCAGCACATAACATATTCATAAGCTACATCACTGAAGCCACCTCGTCTTTCAGTTTTTTCCTTTGTCTTTGTGAGGAAAGGACATCCAAGCTGTGGCGTACATTATCATAATTTATATAATTGCAATCATGAATGGATATGCTTCAGTTGGAAGCATGAACATAAACATGCCAGCTTATGAAAATGGTCACCTGGTCAACATCTTCTGTCAGAATGCAATATCTTGCATTTTATATTCTTTTCTCATGTTTGATATAAGGATTTGTTTCTCAAGTTGCTTACCTAATTTGCACAGATCCGACCATTGTGGAGACATTATTTTCAAAACACTCAAGGGCTAATCTTTGTGGTTGATAGCAATGATCGTGACCGTGTGGTTGAAGCTAGGGATGAGCTGCACCGGATGTTGAATGAGGTAGTCATAAGCTTTACTTCTTTCTTTGTAACTTGTACTTTCGTGGCTTTGTGCTTTTTAATAATGAAAATTTTTATTGTCTGAATAGGATGAATTGAGGGATGCTGTGCTACTTGTGTTTGCTAACAAGCAAGATCTTCCAAATGCTATGAATGCTGCTGAAATTACAGATAAGCTTGGTCTTCATTCTCTTCGTCAACGCCACTGGTAATTGATGGCAGCTCCATTGTCAACTCCTCTGTAGATTATTGCTATAGGTAAATATTGACGGATGTTATCTGATCTGAGTTTATTGCAGGTATATCCAGAGCACTTGTGCTACTTCTGGTGAAGGTCTCTATGAAGGACTAGACTGGCTCTCCAACAACATTGCTAGCAAGGTAGGGTCCTAACTCCTGGTGTTTTGTAGGAAATAATGATAAAAATCTTGGGTCTTCTTGGATGTAACTCTGTCTGATGAATTGTGGCAGGCTTAAGAACCTGGTCGATTTCTGCTGCATTTTGGATAGCACTTTACTTCCATTCGGAATCTGCTAGGCTGTTTGGTGTACGAGGATTTGTAATCCTGTAATTGTCAAGAGAATGTATGTTTGGTTGTGTAAGATATTGTTACTGTAATAGAAATTGACAAATTATCCTATAGATATTAAATAATTCATGATTCACAGTTTCAACACAATGTATCTTGATTCAAGTTCTATGCTAGTGGAGTTTTTGGAGAATTTGTTTCTTTCAATGTCCAGCCATTGCTTGATGGCAATTTTTCTATGTAATATAGTACTTGCCAGGGCTATATATTGTGATTAGAAACTTTGCCATATTTATTTGTGAATGTTGAACGTTTCATTTTTGTTCCTCTCTTAATTTGCACTAATGATGGTTGTCTGAAACTCCATCAGAAATCTCTGCAGACATTCCAATGCTTGTGGTAAAAGCTTGATCGTGTATTTCCCCATGTTCAGGACCGTGATTGGAACGCATTGGGATCAGCTTGCCAGCCTTAACTCGCTCTTCTGTCTGTTGTCTGGTGTTTGTACTTGTCTAAATACGTGTTTTTATGGTGAATGTTTTTATGAAGCTTAATTTAAGCAACTTTACCATAAAACATATAGTTAATATAAGGACAAAAAATCATTTTTGCTTTAATTTGATGAAGAATCAATTCTTTCTGCAATTTCTTCTTTAATAAGAAAAATTATTTTTTTAGTGCTATTTTTTTCATTTTTTTTATGTTGATTGTTAATTAAATTAATGATTTATTTATTTATTATTTTAATTTTAGATAGATTTTTTCCTCAGACTTTTTTGTTTTATATAAAAAATAAAAATCAACAATTAAAAAAAAAATTGCAACAGAAGAAGTATGCGTTGCGAGCCAAACTTTGACACTTGTGCAGTCTTTAACCTGGACGTGCATGACCAGTATGGCGGTGCCAAACTCCGATGGAAATATGAGAAACATGCACGGCTGATGCATCCCATCCTTGAAAAAGATTTTCTAACCTTATTCTTGCAATTTCAACTGAATCATTATTAAGCAGTCAGAAATTTAGCAGGAACAAAGAAGTTTCCCAGTGACCACAGACATGGAAATGAGAACTTTCAGCTGCTTATCCCTTTCAATCAGAAAGAAATATGGATTCACTGGGAAAGCAGGAGGCATACCCCTTTCACAGGCAGATATTGCTGCTGGCGTTGCTGATTCCTTAGCTACCATATCCTTGTACTTTTTTCCAGCAAAGGCGGTAGAAGCTTGCTGAAAACCCTCCACAACTAGCTGATAATCCTTCACACACTCTCCAAGAACCTTTCTAACTTCTGGAGTAGTTGCTTCATCAAGGATTCTCTGAGTATAAGCACATGTGTCTATGGCATTTTTCAGAGCTAAGTCAATAGTCAGATGAGTCAGGCCGACAAGGTCTGTTGTTGGAGATTTGACGTTGTCTTTGAAGATTTTGATGCAGAGGTTGTAGTCTTGAGTTCCATGGCAGATCTTATCGATCAATTCTTGGGTTAGGGCTTCACATTGTGCAAAATGGATGAAGAAGAGTATCAGCACCAGGGAAAATAGGGAGGAATGGCTAGGGACAGAAGCCATGTATTTGTTGGAAATGGCTTGGAAAACAGGGAGGAATGCTTGAGGACTTCATAGCATTATTGCTGATCAGATTTAGAATTTATCATGTTTCCTAAATATGTGTTGGTCGGACAGATAAGAAAATATTGTAATTTTACAAAAAAATTGGCAATGCAATTAAATTGTATTTACTCCCAATATTATATTTTTGGAATGCTAATCTTGCCTAAAATATTTCATGAAATCGTTTTTTGGATTAAATATAGATGATTAGGTTTTTTTTTTTTTTTTTAATATATGAACTTGTAAAATCATTTATTTTCAATTAGGGTACTGGTAAATTTACAATCAAATTCGTTATTCCCATCATTTGCTTTTTTTAAATTACCAACACACCCTTCTATTAATATTTGTTACTATATCTTATTTAAATATGTTTTGTATCAAAGATCTAAAATGCTTATCAATATTTTTTTTTCAGGTTTTTTATTTTCGCTTTCATGCACATTTAAATTTTGAGTATTTTAGGTATTTGATATAAAATATATTTAACTATAATATAATAATAAACATTAATGAGGAGAGTATATTAGTAATTTTCTTAAAAAACAAGGGGTGAGAATAACAAATTTGATGGGGGATTTAGCAAAGCCTTTTGAATTACTATTAATTTACATTTCTATGCATCTAAAAAATCAATTACTTAATTAGTGCATCTAGAAAAGTTCTATTTGATTTGTTACACATACTAAAAAGGAAAACACAAAAAATTAATAATAATTTATTGCTCTAGGAAAAAACTCATGCATTGAATGAATTTACTGTGGTAATAAATCTCATAAATACAATAGTAAAAACTTATAGGAAATGATTTAAGGAATTCTTTAAGATTTTTTTGGAAAGTAATTTTAAAATTTTCATTAAAATTAGCATTTTATTCAAGAAACAATACTTTAATTATATAAAAACACTAATCTCTAATTATTATGTCTTTTTTTTAATTAAAAACACTAATGTCCCTAACCTTGTATTTCTTATCTTTTCAAATAATTCATGAAGGAAAAAGATATTCACTCTAAAACCCAATCATTCATCATTAATTTCTTACTCTCTCTCTGTATGCTCCTTCTAACCTAAATATATTATCCACCTTTCTATTTTGAAATGTCCCAAAATGATGGGCATTAGTGTAAAACAATCTGAAAACAAATGACACGTCATGCAATTAATTATATTTTTTAATCTATATAAAAAATCAAATGAAACTATAAATTGGTGCTGATGGAGTCTATAAATATATGTGCTGTTTTTCATTCTCTTAAATCCAATTTCCAATATGTTCAAATTAATATTCTTGAAAAATTTTACTCTATTAATTATATTTTTATAAAAGCACTCATATTTTAAAGTTGAATGAAACTTTCCTTTTGGTCCAATCTTTTATTTCACTTTTTGTACAGTTTGAACCCTAGGCCCAACTCCATAGCCCAGTCTTTGTCATTTTACTGATGGGCTTTGATCTCTCAAGAAGACATAATGATAATTTTGCTGCTTAGGAGTTAGGAATCCGTACCAAATCCATGGTAACTGTGGGTTTAGGTAAGAAAATCAGGGTGCTAGGAAGCAGTGGACAGAGAAAGCAACAACTTGGCGACCGCTGCTGGAAGAAAACTGGGCCTTATCTGAAGTGACCAAATCTCCACCTGTTTCATTAAATATCCTCAGGCAAAACCGCGTATGATAATTTATGTCTGTGCATGCCATTGATTACACTCAATTCTTTACAATCTTTTTGTCCAACTGGCCACAGCTGAAATGAACCTTCCTGTACGCTTCCTTTCTTTCAAGTCCCAACTCATCCATCGCAACAAATTCTACTATAAAAACCCACCAAAGACATGCACAATACACATCTCATTCTGTTCACAACAAACATTTCTTCCTAAACACCATTTCATTGTATCCATGGCTTTTTTTCTTGCTTCTTCAAGAATTCCAATGTTGTCGTTGTTCTTGGTCTTTTTGACAACGAGTTCTTTGATGGGGTCATCTCTAGGTAACTTCTACCAAAACTTTGACATTACATGGGGAGATGGGCGTTCTAAGATACTCAACAATGGTGAGCTTCTCACTCTCAATCTTGACGAAGGTTCTGGCTCAGGATTCCAATCCAGAAATGAGTATTTGTTTGGAAAGATTGATATGCAACTCAAGCTCGTCCCTGGCAACTCTGCTGGCACTGTAACCGCCTATTATGTAAGTTGTCTTGATATTAATGCTCCCTATTTTGACTAAGAAAATTTAACGTATGCTCTTAGTATTAATCTGTGTGTTTATGTTTTCAGTTATCATCAAAAGGGTCGACATGGGATGAGATAGACTTTGAGTTCTTGGGGAACTTGAGTGGTGATCCCTACATTCTTCATACTAATGTGTTTAGCCAAGGCAAAGGCAACAGGGAGCAGCAATTTTATCTCTGGTTTGATCCAACTACTGATTTCCACACCTATTCCATCCTTTGGAATCCACAAAGAATCATGTAAGCTAGCACTAGGTCCCACATCCAAACCCAAATGACCAAGTTAATTTAGAATTCAAATTGCTAACATTTTCTCCTGATTTGTCTCAGCTTCTCTGTAGATGGCACCCCTATTAGAGAATTCAAGAACATGGAGTCAATTGGTATTCCATTCCCAAAGAGTCAAGCAATGAGGATTTACTCTAGTTTATGGAATGCAGATGACTGGGCTACAAGAGGTGGTTTGGTCAAGACTGATTGGTCACAGGCTCCTTTTACTGCCTCTTACAGGAACTTCAACGCTGATAAAGCTTGTGTTTGGTCTAATGGTGCATCTTCTTGTGGTACAAATTCCTCCCCTCCTGCAGCTTCCTCCAACACCGGTTCTTGGCTTTCTGAAGAGCTTGATTCAACAAGCCAAAAGAGGTTACAATGGGTCAAAAACAACTACATGATATACAATTATTGCACAGATGCTAAGAGGTTTCCTCAAGGATTTCCTCAAGAATGCAGCATGTCTTAAAAGGAGGGAAAGCAGTAGACAGAGACACACAGCAGGACATAGAATATAATATTCCTTAAATTCTTTCATTATTTTACATTCCTTAAATTCTTTCATTGTTTTTTCTCACGAAAATTACTATAGCCATTGTAGCCCCAGGAATATAATATTCCTCAAGATTATATTTTCCTGCCTCTTACAGGAATTTTTTGTTTTTTTGATTCCATTGTTCTCCAGTAATATGTGTTGAATCAAAGAACGACTTGTATAATTATATTTTCCCAAACTTTGTGATTCATTTTTCTTTTCCCATTAAAACATAGCCATTGTAGCCCCATGAATTTCTATACCAAACAATTTAAAATTTAGACCTGAAAGCTTATAAATTGGTAATCAGAAATTCTTCTACAATTTGTTTTTCTTCGGTATATTGCAAATCGGGGTATCGACGAGGCCATCAATAAATTTACGGTAGAGCCCCTCGAAAGTCAAAACTGATAGGAATGCTTCCTTGAATTAAGTTTCAATATCATTAGTAATGTGAATAATAAAATCAGTTTCCGTTATTGAGGTTTCAATAATTAATAGCAAGTTCATCCATGGTGGATTTAGTAGGTTGAAGATAATCATCAAAGGAGCAAGAACCACTAAAGAGAGTCGATTTATTCTTCAAATACATACCTAGCTCGATTATGTTATGAATCACAATTTGAATGCTAAATTAATTATAATCCTTGTATTAGATTTTTTATTTAGCTTGATATTCAATTATATATATTGTTTTTTCAATTGCTACTCTAAAGAAAAATTTTAGTTTGCTAAGATATGAGTTTTCAAATAAAAAAAGTATTTATTTCACCACACGTTATTTCTTTTTTCTTTTTCTTTTTAGTAGCTTACACACTTTTGGGTTTATAAAGAACACACAACTTTAGCAATATAGATACACAGTACTCAAAGAAATAAAAAATATGATTAATAATTGCAGACAATTTTATTTATTAATTTATTTTTATCATGTCTTTTTACTCTTTTTTGTTGTAAGTTCATGTTTTTACGTTTAGTTTTTATCTTAATCTCGTATATTCATTAACTTTTAGACCGATAGTGTTAACTTCTTCTTTTTTCTTCTGTCTTAATGTCATCTCTTACCTCTATTTTTCCGTTTTAATTATGTTTTTTTTTTGTCAAATTTAAATAAATAAATTTTAAAAAAAGTTATAAATAAGTTATAAAATTTAAGAAATTTGAAAATTATAATAGACTTGTTTGAGATATTATAAAATTATAAATATCATTCAAAAATTTAAAATTTTAATTAAAACTCTCTTCACATTTAAAAAAAGAATACTATAAATATTTTATTTTATACTATAAAAAAGAATACCATTAGTCCAAAAAAATTAAAAGAAAGACGAGATTAAAATATAAACCAAACATTGAAGAATGAAATTACGACAAAAGAAAAAATTAAAATAACAAGATAAAAACAACAGAAACAATAACGAGACTTGTATAATCATGAACCCATAAAAAAGGTCAAGCTCTTTATTGGAACTGATTTAAGGAATTCTTTGAGACTTTTTTGGAAAGTAATTTTAAATTTTTCATTAAAACTAGCATTTTATTCAAGAAACAATACTTTAATTATATAAAAGCACTAATTTCTATTTTATTTATTTATTTATTTTGTTATAAATAGGATTCTGCATTCCACAATCTGTTAGGGGGTTAATTTTTTACTAAAAACACAAATTTCCCTAACCTTTCATTTCTTATCTTTTCAAATAATTCATCAATAAAAAAGATATTCACTCTAAAACCTAATCATTCACACCATTAATTTCTTACTCTTTCTCTAGCTCTCTCTAAATACTCCTTCTAACCTCAAGGCATTGTCCCTCTTTTTATTTTGAAGTGTCCCAAAATGATTGTTCATTATTAAAAATTCAAACTATTAATTACTTGGTTATTGGTATATCCCTAATCATAACTTACTCT